GAACGGAGATGCTCATGACACGCCTCACCTAACTGCCACCAGCCCCACCCCGCCCAGACCGGATCAACGCCGGAAACGGCGTACCGGAAGGCGGCGCATGGGAAGTGGCATCACCGGGAGCGACGCCCTCTCAAGCCGCTTTCCGGAAACATTTCTGCCCCGCGCTAGGCCAGTGGTCGGCAGATCGGGGCTCTCCCGGGCTTGCAGCCGGCCACCTCCGCGCCCGCCTGTCTCAGTCAGGCCCTGGACAAACCAACTGTCTCTCCTGGCCCCTCCGGTAGTGGCGCCCCCCCAGGAGGCGGAGGCCGATCCTGTCGGACCTGAGCTGCCGGGCCATGTGCCCAGGGCAGCCACCCTCCCAGGGGGCGAGCTGTAGTCTTGCCAGTCATTACCTCACAACTTCGCTCTTGAGCGGCCCCACTTTTTTTATTGCTTAAAATATTACGAGTAGGACATTTTTTTCCCCTTTGATCTTCCCCCGGCCTCCCCTACCCCCGTGTCTGTGTCCATTGGTTATGCTTAATATGCATGCATACAAGTCCTTTGGTTGATCTCTTACCCCCCACAACCCTCCCCAGCCTTCCTGCTGTAGTTTGACAGTTTAATGCTGCTCTGCCTCTGTATCTATTTTTGTTCATCAATTTATAATGGTATTTATTATAAAACCTTTCAGTCTGCAGGCCAAGGCTCTATCCACTGAGCCAAACCTGTTAGGGCTCTGTATCTATTTTTGATCATCAGTTTATAATGGTCTTTATTATCAGTGGCCCCACTCTTGTACTTGTCTCCCTCTCCTAGGCCATTAGGCCTTGCCCAGGTAAGAGAGAGGTCTGCCCACAAGAAACACTTGGCCACACGTGAAGCTTTTAAATGTCAGCTTTATTAAGGTATAATTTACATAAAAGTACAACTGGATGCGGTTTAACAAATGCAGTCTTGGACCATCACCTGTCTAGATAAACTGTTTTCATCACTCCAAAAACTCCATCAGGCCCCTCTGCTGCCAATCTCCTTCCGCCCAGGCAACATAAGGTAATGGTTACCCACTGAATACAGTGAGTTCTGAAGTCCAATCACTAGAATTCAAGTCCAGGTACAACAAAGAAACCAGTTATTTAATCCAAACATAAAATACAAAGGAAAAAGGATTGTAATAAAACAGCTTTCAGTGTGTAGGATGCCAATTTGTGACCTTGTAAGCACAATTACTGGGAATGTTTAAATAACCTGTTTCACAACTGCTGGGCCTTTTCACTTTCTTGGTTGAACCCAACACCATAAGAGATAAGCCATTTTCATCCTTTACGGGAGTAAGTCTCAAATAAAGCTATTTATACTGGAGAAAAAAGTTTTTGCAAACATACTCCTTGGGCCCCATCACAGACCTGTCTCTTTTATGTCTT